GTAACCATGGCTTGGGGATGGTATGTTTATATATACTATTTTATTTTATTATTTATGAAGTGACTCACCATTTTTAATTTTATTATATAGTGGTTGTGCAACCAAAGTACCTGATTTTCAAGGTTATCAGTGGCCCATTAATTATCAAGATTGTGTAAACAGAGGCCAGGTGGATATCACAATTAAATTTTACTTTTATAAATGTTTCTCGATTAATTTGTAGCTAATTCTTGAATGTCAACGCTAGACCTGTCAAACTGCATGTCAATCTAGCACTGTCTCGGTAGATAAGAAAGGACCATGTAACCAAGCTTGTTCTGCTTCTTATTCTAACTTGTAAGTTATTATAAAAAAAATATTTATGTAAATCATGTACCGATATTAATCAATTGTTTTCCATTTCCAGATGTGGTACGGCCAATCAACCAGCAGCTTATTATAATACTAGTGACGTAGATGCTATCCCAAGTTACGGTCCTCCAACAAATAACAATACTAATAGTGGCAATAATGGTCCAAGTGGCTCTCCTACTGGATCTAGTAACTCCTCTGCTAGCGACACCCCTGCAAAGAGTGATGCATCATCACTTTCAATAGCCTTTTCGATTAGTTCTGCAATTTCTGCTTTAGTTATTGTGGCCGTTGGAATGACAATGCTTTAAATTGCTTTTGTTGTACAAATACTATCTATATAACCCTAATTACAGTAATTATGTGTATTTATAAATTAGAATTACTAGATCCAATTTTTTTTTAGAATGATTACTATCAATTTTAATTATACTAAAATTCCGGCTAATTTTAGATCTTTTATAATGTCGATTTTACTTAATAAATTTAATTACCTTTAGGCTATTTCTACACCATACATAATGTAAAAAAAAAAAAAAAAAAAAAAAAAAAAGACGCCTGATTTGCTTACTATTCACCGTTCAAAAATGCCCAACACCACCGCATACGCTCGCAAGTCAAAATTTTTTGTTGTACTGTCATATTAGGATCATCTAGATCCCTGAGGTCTTCCAGAAAACGATTCCGTAAATTATTTTTACTTGGTAAATATAAGGAACATGATCGAAGATGATGAACATGACAAAGCACAAGACCTTGCGCAGCGAAGGGCATAGATACGGATGAGTAATTGTGAACGAGCAAACGTTCTACTTGACTATGTAATGAGAATATTTGATGTGAAAATCTGTGCATAACTTATTTTTTAAAAATGCGTCTCTGAATCATCGTACCGCAATGATTCTCCCATTTTGATCTTCGTTCCATATAACCTGCTAAACAATGATTTTTTTTTTCCACCAAAGCGTTTTGATCCAGTTATAAATCAAGTAAATGAGAAAAATACTCGGTCCCACGGCCAAAAATGCGAAATTCAATTCATTAGATTTCAAGAGTTTGTCTAATGCCGTCATGGAAAGTTCTAAATCCACTTTGGTCTTTTGAACTTGAATAAGCAGTGTACGGATGAGGTTGCCTAATTTTTTGGCGAATAATAAACACATATTTCATTATATTTGACGGATCAGGTTAAAAGAATATTCTTTAGTACTCGCCTGTTAAAGTGGCCTTGACCGGCCTCTATAGAGAAGGTATATATGTAAAACGTTAAAAAAATACAACCGATTTAAGCTACAGTTATCACGGCAAAATTACCTTCAATTCTTGTTCGTAAGCTTTCAACACAATTGACAGATCACCATCTCGAATTCGTTTAGAAAGTTCATTAAGTTCTTCAGCAGTAAATTGCATTTGCTCATGAGCAAAGTCAAGAACCATTCGTTCCAATGACTTTACACATATGGCACATATAGCGAAAAGTTAGATCACCAGATTCTCGGTCTCAAAAATATATATATATAAATATATTGCAAAAAGTTACCTCTAAATCCGAACTAAGACTTTCTTTACCCATAAGTGCTAGTCTATTTTCTTTGTGTCTAATTGTATCTAACATTCCTTTTATGGGCTCCCATATCCAATCATTCCAAAAATTAACCATGGTCTCCTTAATACCTTCAAGCCAATCCTGGAAATCTTCCTGATTACAAAAACCATCCAACGAAAGAGTTTATTATCAAGGCTCAGTTTGCAAAAAAGAATGAATGACTGATACAATTTTAACCAACCCAATGTATTTGATTTCTGATTTTGAAGGTTACAATAGATAATAGAACGGTAGGTATCCACCAACGAGTAATAACTGATGGACGACCATAATATGAAATAATTCGAATTGATTGTTCATTATATTGTGGAAGGTTTTGAGTAATCATGGAGCGGAGGTGAGTATAGAAAGCCAATAATGATGGTATTTTAGGTGGATATTTCGTATCTGTTTCGAATCCGTACCATTAGGAATCAGTGCTTTTAGTATAAAGAAAAAATTATATTATAATTTACTCACCAAAAATATTATCTATATGTGGTACATTCCCACTTCCAATATCAAATTCTATCATTTGATTCAAAACTCTTTCCATCAAAACTATGCATTCGATCAATTGATTCCCAATTAAAGAATCAAACCCAATTTCATGTTCTTCTCTATCTTTATTATTCATTTCCTTAATAATGCTATTGAGATTTAACCCCTTTTCAATTAACAATCCTAAGCATGCAGCTTTATGCTCCATTATAGCTTTGAGCTTTAACTTCTTGTATCGAATTTCGTAACGAATTAAAGGCAAAATAGAAAAAGATTGAAAATGTTGAACATTTAATAAACGAATGTGCATATGATTTGGAAAAAGATTGATCATATAGTTTCTGGAAAAATATTGTCGCAAAGACAAAGTTGATGGAACATTTTGATATCGTTGGTAAACAGAATTAAAAATAGCCCTAGAGAGTGAAAATAAACGAATAGGGGATGCTAAAAAAAAGTAAAAAAAACAAATTAGATTTTCCCTGCATCCTTCATTTTCACATGTCATGATTTATGCCAAAACTCAGCTTTGAAATAGATGATTCCAAGCCCAAAATCTACTTCCTCGCAATTCTTCCCAATAATAAATTTCATTTAATAATGGTAACGTAGAAAATAATAAGTGGTCCAGCAAATTTGCGTATATCACCACAGTTACTTTAGCTAAAAATATCCACTCTAATTTAGAAATTTCCTTTTCGAATTCACTTTCTGAATCACGGTCTTTAGTAGTTTGCCATGATCGATGAAGGATCTTTTCCACAGCATCTAACTGTTTTAACACAAAGGTTAATTTTGGTACATGGCCTTCGTCCAACTCGATGCTCTTAATAGCACTTGTTAAAACTTCTACGCGTTTCGAATCGTAAACAGAACTAGCAGAGGTAACTGTAACCTGCAGACTTTGATATATAGCAGCTATGTCTCCATGAAGTTTTCGAACGCGTTCTTTAATAAAGGTCATTATAAAGTTGTAAAGAGTTAATGTTATAAAATCTTTATATTCAATTGGTCAAAAGTAGTGAGAATCGGTTGGCCTATAATCGGTTAATCGACCCGAACCGAATAAATTTCGGTTAACCGGTCGAGGAAATTCTTAATCGATTGGCAAGATCGAAGATGATATAAAGAGGGAGCAAAGGTTCCGAAAAGAAAAATGAATGAACATAAAAGACGAGTAAGTTGAGACAAAATTTAAGCAAAAGCTACGAAAATTTCCGAATATAAAACGAAAAGTGTAGAGATAGTTAATCTCAACCGATTGGATTGACAACCGGTTGAATAAATAAATTGGTTCGGTTAACCGATTAAAGAAATTTTTCTCGGTTCAAATCAAGAATGCAAATCACGGGAATATCCGCTGACTTTCAATTTTAAAAAAACCCATAATTGCTAGAAAGTCACTGAGGTTTTTAGCTAGTAGCTGCTGTTTGGCTGCTAGCACTAATATATAAAGTGCAACGCTTTACAAATACGGACCAATAACTGGTGTTACTTTCGTTCGAAGCTCGTCATCGCATAAGGAATCAAGGTTTAGAACGCAAGAATTGCAAAGCACCTTGCTTTCATGTGGTTTCTAAAGAATTTTAAGTGACCAAGTTTTTTCACACTGTGTTGGCATACTAGTGTACAACACCACTGTTCCAACCACCAAGGATACGAAAATTTTAACGAAATGTGGAACTCTTCGACGTCCGCTGTTCAAGTGAATGCTGGTACTTCCACAAACGATCCTAGTATCCAACAGGAAGAAGAAGACGAGGAAGAGGAAGAACTTATACCAGAGAGTGGTGGGCAATATCAGGGCGAGTATTATGGTGAGCACATGTTTTTTTTAAAAAAATAAAAATACCATAGATTCTTTTATTCAGATCACTATCTCATATGAGAAAAAAGAAAGTTATCGCTAAAAGTAATCAATTGTTTTGGCATTTAATTAAGTGGGTGTTGATATATAACAGCATTCATTAATTTCTTAGTTTAGTTCTGTATATTTTTCAATAAAGTAGATAGTGGGGTTAGCTTTAACGTTAGTGTGATAAGCAATTCAATTGAATCTTTACTTTTAGCGACCAGAGAGTTTTTCAATAAATGCACGACAAAATTCATAGGCTGACAATTGGTCGATCTGCTATTTAAGAAACACATATAAGCATACAATAGTGTATACTCTGAAGTGACGCATAATTACAAATAATCTTGCTAAAGGATTTCGGACATACGGATTTTTCAACCGAGAATTCATAAACTCATACTCATATCTCTTCTTCCTTACAAACAAAAAGAAACCGACACATCTAACGACACAGGAACAGAATCTCTTACATGGATCTCATGGTTCTGTGGTCTCCCCGGTCACGAATACTTTGCCGAAGTCGCCGAAGATTTCATTGAGGATGATTTTAATTTAACTGGCTTAAATTCAATGGTCCCATTTTATAAAGAAGCACTTGAAATGATCTTGGATGTTGAATCCGGTAAGCACAGCCAGGTACGGCTGGATGAAATAAAATAGAAAAAAATTTATGATTCGATAGTAGGACGCATGTATATTTAACTATTATAAAATAATGTATAAAATGAATTATCTCTATTAATATTCATAGAAGAAGAAACCTTAAAAGTACCAGACGTGTCAATCGTTGAAACATCTGCAGAATTATTATATGGCCTTATACATCAACGCTATATTATTACACGCCAAGGATTACAGCAAATGGCAAGTCTAAAAAATCTAAATCTTTATATTTTTCCCTTGTTATTGAATGTTTCAATTTCGATTTACTGGTAAAATTTTTTAGGTGGATAAATATGAGTCTAAACATTTTGGCATTTGTCCTAGATATTATTGTCAATCATGTCCCGTGATTCCTTGCGGGAGGAGTGATATGCCGGGTTTAGAGACCGTCAAGTTGTTTTGTCCAAGTTGTCTTGATCTATATACACCGCCTAGTTCAAGATTTCATAACGTTGATGGTACGCTAAAATTATCAGTTATACACTTGACCCTCGTTAGTATTAGCTTATTGGGTTGATAATTATGTTGATATCTGTGAAGATTGATAACAAAGAGATAATTATCTATACAGTCCGAACTCAATTTTTTATTAATGAGAGGTTAATATTAACGAGGGTTAAGTATAATATGACCAGTAATTCATATACATTTACCATTTCCTTTTCAGGGGCTTTCTTTGGTACAACCTTTCCTCACCTTCTCTTCCAGCAGTATCCAGACCTACTTCAAAATACTCCAACAGAAATTTATGAGCCAAGGATTTTTGGATTCAAAGTCAGTGAAAAAAAGTCGTAGCGGTCCTAGAATGCAATGGTTAAGGCTGCGGCCAAGCGCAGCAGAAAGAGAAGCTGAAAGTCATGACCAATCAGAAGGTGGTGGAGAAAATGATGATGGCGAGGATGATGAATCCGTATTGGGGCCAGGTGGCGGAGAAAATAATGGTGCATCAGGAACCACCAGAGATGCAAAACGGTTCGGCTAAGCCGTGTGTAAAAAAAAAATGTCTAAGTCAGCCATTTGACGGCTCGGCTAACAAAGAGTCGGCTTTTAAACGGTTCAGCTTGTGACTATGGAGCCAATATCTGAGCCATGTGCCGATTAGTACGTACCTGCAAACGTTATCCCGATTTCGAGCTTAATATATACATGATGTAAAATTCGAACGTAGTAAATGGTTAATATTCGAGCTTAAATTTGAGCTTAAAATGATGTAAAATTCGAGCATAATCTATACGCAATATAATATTACGTATTATTTAATATAATTTTTATATTGCACGATAAAAAACTTTTTTTTCTTTTAATATTCAATCCTAAGTTATTATTATTATTATCTGATAAGACTTGATAATTTCTCCCCAAAGAGACTATCCTTTGAGACTTTTATCAAGATAGTGCCGCTATTAGTAGTACGAATTATGATGGAGATTAAAAAGAAAAACATCCGATTTCATTCCAAGCACGACTAACAAGGATAAAGTTATACGTGTTTTATGTCGACAAAAAAAACATTCGGATGATATACTATCTCATCAAACATACGATCTCAAAGGTAGATTTAATAAGTAATATGTTTGGTTCTTTACCTTTTTCAGTTATTGCAATTATTTACAAGCAGATAATTCATTGGCGGTGTCAACCTCCCGTCACGTGAAAATATAAATGTAATGTTAGAAACGCTTTTGATATTAATATACTCAACTGGTAAAAGACGTTAATCATATCTACGCAAATATATGGGCTGCCATCAATAGAAATCAAGCAAATTGACATTTTTTTAATAAAAATTAATCCCTTAACTTTCACAACTTATATCTCGATGAATTTTGAGACTATCTTGATGAATTAATATTCAAAAGAAAGTTTAGATATTAAGCTTTCTTTTGAATATTAATTCATCATGATTACCTCAAAATTCATCGAGATATAGGTTATGAAATTTAAGGGATTAATTTTTTTTAAAATGTTAATCTACTTGATTTCTATTGACGGCAGTTCATTCGATAATTGTTTTATAATTTGTATTGCAGTATTAAAAACCACATTGAAAGACTGGCTCGCATTTTAAATAGCTAGCTTATTACAATCAGGACATCAATCGAAATTGGACACTCTTTTGGTGAAAACAAAGTAGTTCGTAAGAATTTTATAAGATGTCGAAAGGCATAAACGCGTTTTTCACATCATAGGGCGCTGGCAATTTAATTAAAGCGTTAAATCTTAAATTATGATGAATGACGTTTTCCCCAAAAAGTTAGCAGGTGATATTGTGACGTAAATAAGCACAGCACCTTCTACCCTGCTTTTTTCAATTTCATATTAACGGGAATAAACTTGATTAAAGATTTCATTGCTACTTCCGCTAATCTGAAATTGAAAAAATAGGGTAGAGAGAGCTGTGCTTATCTTTCACATTTTACGGTAGATTGGAAAGCAAGCCGCTCGAACCAGCTGGCTGTTAGGTAAGAAAATGTCAGGCCAGAGCGTAAGGATGAGAAGCCTGATCAAAAAAAAAAAAAAAAAAAAAGAAAGACGTATACTTACTGGTAAGTAGACGCATCGGAGGGTCTCTTTTTATATATTAGAGGTAGGTGGCTTTTCTTAACGCTGACGTTCTTTAAGCTGACTTGCATGAAAATTCATGCGAGTCTGTTGCCGGATGATTAGTTGGATCGCTCGATGGTCGGAGCAGATTTGTGCCCCGTCTGCCATGACTAGTGATCCGAATCAAATTCATAGTTATATCTATTAAATATAATTATATGAGCACCGTCAAGGAAAACCTGTCATCGGGCTTTCAGTTGTATTTTGTGTTCCCTGGGTGCAGTCTATGGAAATTAGGGGTCTGCAAACCGGGCTCGTGCCCATGCCCAACAGAAGTTACAAGCATGGGAATGGGCATAGGCACGGGCATAAGAATTTGCCATAGGCATGGGCATGGGCACAAAACTTTGGCATGGGCATGGGCACAAAACATTGGCATGGGCACAAAAATTTGGCACGGGCATGGGCATGGGCACCCATGCCCGGCACATTGGCACTAGGCCGGGCACTAGTGCCTTGTGCCGTGCTGTGCCTATAGGCACTAGTGCTGGGCACTAATACCAGGCACAAAGATTAAGGGCTGATGGTCCTCTTGATCCATCCCAGGGACCCATAAAATTTTTAGATATAAAATTTTCACAAAAAATCTAAAATTTCAAGTATCACCTCAAATTTTCTAAAATTTTTATAAATTCTATTTTTTTAACTATATTGATTATGTATCAATTAATTATTGACTAATTATATATATAAATATTTAAATGTCATATAAAATATGTTATTTATAATTCATACAGCATTTAGAATTTGATTAGTTTTGCCACAACCATAACCATGACTTGTTATTTCACTGGAACAGTTCCGCATTCATCACTATTATAGCTATACTTGTGTGCCTAAATTAAGGGTGATTTACGGCATTATGGCATGTCTATATTTTTCATAATTTCGACATACTGCCTCAAATGCCTAAATGTCGAAAATAATTTCGGCTGCCGTAAATAATTTTGCAGCCAAAATTATTTTTCAGCTGGTCTAATTATCTTTGTCTGCATGTGACTTACCATCATCTTATTGTTGATCACAAAATTCAAATATGGAAGTGCATTAAAGAATTGAAATTTCAAACTTTCACCTTATCAAGCTGTATAACATTTTATTACATTCTGTTCAATTTAACCAATAAAGCATGATTTCCAAAGCCGTATTTTCAGTTCCAAAATTATAAGTGCTGTTTTATTGATCTGGCACATCCAATTCAAAAAATTTGCTATCTATATAAAAAATTATTAAATAATGCTATAACATAGAATATTGCAATATTAAAAAAAATTATAGATACCTTGATATTTAAATAAAATAAAGTTACTTTCATAGTTTGAATCATCATATCTTCATTTTCTATACAAAATATATTTGCATATCATTATCTTTTACATTTTGTAGTTTTTTATCAAATTTATTTAACTCTGATAAAATATTTTAGCTATTATGCCATTCTTCAAAAAATATCACAAATTTCTTTTGCTATTGGTCGTTTTTCTGGTTCCATATCCCAACATTTCTTCATTAAATCAGCATAGCATGTTGCTGTATTTTCATAAATATGCGGTCGTAAACTATTACGTACTTGTAATTTAGATTTTTGCTCAAAAGGAACAGGTTTACTGTATAAAATTTCCCACATAATTATATCAAATGAATAAATATCAGATTTTGTAGTATATGGTTGCTTGTTCAAAAGTTCAGGAGCAATATAAGGTAATATTCCATAAACTCTATCTGATTTGATTTTAATACAATATTAGTTGTTATTGAAAGTCCTAAATCTGCAATATATACACTCTTCAAGTTGTTTTGTAGTATATTTCAACTATGTAAATTTGATGAATAAGATCATAAGAATGAATTTGCAAAAAATACAATGCAATACATTGTAGCAAATTTAATTTATCATTCCAATCCATTTGTGCCATAGCATATAATTCTTGTGCAAACTATCTTTTGAAGCATATTCCATGACAATATAATTTCCAGAAGCTTTATTTCTTGATATACCGAAGCATTTTTAAAAAAGTCAGATCTTTATGACCAATATCACAATATTCTTTTAATAAATCATTAAAAAGAATTATATATTTAAATTATTAGCATAAATGATGATCATAAATAATATACAGTAATTGATAAAAAAAAATTTTAATAAGGTTACTTTTTTTATAAATTCTTCATAATAACTATTTGATTCATGGGGCTGTTTAAGCGCCAAGGTCTATTTAAACTATACTTTTATCAATCCAACTAGCATAATATATAGTTGCAAATATATCTTTATCTATCTCTTCAATGTCTTCAAGTTTATCGTAAGAAATCCATGATAACTAGTATTTATTTTCCATCAATGTTTTTTTCGATTTCAGAATTATACATTCAATAATTTGTAGCTATTATTTATTTATAAAATTTTGTCAACTTTAGATTATAAATAAATTAATAGCAATATATATAGTTTATAATAAATTTATTATAATAATATCTGATGTTAAATCCTTTTCCCAATCAGTTAAATATAGAATATATATATAATGTAATTTAGTATTCTGGCAACATAGCACGACCATAGACCTATCAATCGAATATCAAGATCAGGTACAAAAAATTATTTCAAAAATTTAAATTGATCTAAACTTGTTTTTTTTTATACTAATTACACCCTATAATATAATTTGATTGTGGTGTGTTATATACAAATACACAAATTTAAACTTTTATCTTTGATACCAGTAATTAGCCTTATATAAATCTCTTGTTATTCCAATTTCATTTCTATAACATTCTGCAACTGACGATATTCCACTGGCGTTATCCATTTTTGATAACAAATAAATACTTTATATTCATCATTTTCAACTCCAATTTCAATTCGATAACATTCTGCAACATTATATGCTCAACTAGTGTTATCCATCTCTGCAGATTTTTGATAATAAATAAATACCTTATGTCTATTCTTTTCAACCCCAATTCTATTAATATAACAATCTGCAATATTATATGCTCTACTCTTATAGGCCATCTCTGCAGATTTTTGATAATAAATTAATGTCATATGTTTATTCAATTCCTTCATCATAGTAATATTCAACATTATATATTTCATTTGCATCACCCATCTCTGAAGATTTTTGATAATAAGTAAATGCCTTATATTTATATTTTTTAACTCAAATTCCTTTATCATAGCAATATCCAACATTATGTTCCACTAGCTCTGCAAATTTTTAATAATTAATGAATGCTTTATACTTATCATTTTCAACTTCAATTCCTTTTTCAAAACAAATACTGATAAAAAATATTTCATAAAAATCTTTCATCTCAGCAGACTTTTGACAATAGTTGAATGGCTTAAGTTCATCCTTTTTAAATCATTTACTATAATGATAGCAGCTTGCAAGAATGCAATGAATTAAAAGAATCACTTAAGCAAGATTTGACAAGATTAATTAGATTTTAGTTCTTCTTTATCAGAAATTATTCTAATATATCAAGAATTAAACAAGAATTGAACAAGAATTTTGCTTTTCGATTTTTTATTATAAATATTACATATTTCTTCAACAATTTTATTTAGAAAATTCTGTGAAAAATCCTGTAAACTTTTATTATCTAAATTCAATTGGGTGACATTGTTTGCTAGTTGAGTAATATCTGATGAACTTTCAACTTTTTCTAACTGCTTTACAAATTGATTGTTGTAATTTGACATTCTGATACAAGAAAAGTGTGAATAAAGAAGCGTCAAATTTATTAAAGTTATATATTATATTTAATATACATATAAATTGCGAAGTAATGAGGTCACATGTTCAAAAAGCGAACAAATAG